ATATATATGCGTATGTATGTGAATTTATATTTACAGGCATAAATTCCTACAGTAGAGTATTAAAAAGAATGAAAACTTGATCGAAAAATATAGATTTAGATTATTTCTTTAATATAATTTGTAATTCGTTAAGGAACTGAAAAATATCAATTTATTATTGATTTCAATCATGTAAATTATAAAAGAAGACGGAAAACATGGATTAAGAGCTCAGTTTAAGATACTTGAAAGATTTTGTAAATTAATTAATTAAATTTCCTAATTTAAGTTTTAATTATTTAATCTTATTAAATAATAGTTGATATTGTTTAGCATTATTGATTTTTCTGATATTTTTTGTTCTTCCATTAATTTATTTTTATGTCTAGTTCAGAATAAAATAAATATATAAATAACAAATTTGTATTTATTTATAGCCGATTATTGATTACTTTTTAATGTTTTTAAATTTAATATAAGTGTTCCGTCAGTTGTAAGTGAATATTACCTAAGAACCTATAATTAATAGCAAATAATCGGCTTATTATTATGTAAAACACTTACAAAATATAATTAGCGTAATTATTATATCTTATAATTATTATAATCCTAATAAAAAGAAAATTATTTATTTATAAAGCTATGTATGTTTATATGTTAAGCAATTTTTTTCTTATGCTAGAATATGTTCATTTATAAAAGGAAAAGTAATAAAAACGAAATTTGAAAAATTGATAGATGATTAGATGATAAATTTAAAAAAATCAATGAAATAAAAGCTAAATTATAAAATTTAAATATGAATTCGTATAAATGAACTATTCTTCTAGGGATTGCCTCTAAGAAAAAGTACACTCATACATATGTAAGAGATAAACGGAAAATTATTTAAAAGTTAATTTATTAATTTAAAAAAGAGTATTATAAGCACATATGTAATACTAATTAGCGTATACTTTCACTACTAAAATAGTTTAATTTATCAATTGATAAGTCCAGAACAGAAATTTTTAAAAATTATTGACTTTCAAAACTTTTTTAATCAGCTGTTTAAAATCTAAATAGCCATTGTAAGGATATGTTATTAGTAGGAGCAGATTTGGATTAGGCTGTAATATATAAAATGCCTTTCTCTTCTCCTCCACTAAATACTAATAATTTAAAGCGTTGAGGCCTTAAGCTTTTTTAGCTTATGTGTAAATTCGAACTGATATCATTAGGTTTTGAAAGAGGAGGTTTATTGCACGAGTTGGCATCTTTACATTTAAATAATTTCGAAATGTATAACAGATTTCTACAAATATAATTCAAATCAAAGGAATTTTAATTCTTTAATAATTATTATTAAGTTCAAAGTTAAATTTCTTGCAACTCGTAATGGCAACTTTAAATTAATGTATTAAAACTTTCTATTAAAACTATTTTCACATTAAACTTTCATTAAAGTAACATTTCTTCACATTAATATTTTATAATAGAGATTTTTAAGTCAAAATAATCTTTAGTTGTTCGAAAATATTAAATAAAACTAATCATGTAATTTTATTAGTGTTTTGAATAATCTACAATTGGTTTAGAAATTATTTGACATTAGCTTACGGTTAATAAACTTTTTATTCTTCCTCTTCTTCTTCATCTTCTTCTTCCTCCTCCTCCTCTTCTTCTTCTTCCTCAGGCTCAGGTGGAGGTGGTGCAGCTTTTGGTGGTGGAGGAGTTGGTTCTTTGTGAAATACGGGTGGTTCCTCGAATAAATCGTCGTCATCGTCATCGTAAACACGAGCTTCTAAAATTTCTTTTGCTTTGGGTGCTGTTGGATCCCATTTGGGTAATTTTGAAGGGCCGCGATCTTTCCATTGGGTGTTACGTTCTTGCCAAACTTGTTCTATTTGAGTTTGATAATTTTTGCCCCAGCCCTTTAAGTTGCAAAAAACAAAATACATATTATTATTATAAAATCTTAATTATTTTATTCGTTTTTTTTTATTTAAAAAACATGAAAATATTAAATTACATTTGCAAAATTGCGTGAATTTAACAAAAAACAAAAGATTAATTTTTAAAAAATAAATTAATAAACAATTAAAAATAATTCTTAAAATACAAATTTAAGTAAAACAAAAACAGTAAAATGAAGGTCCGTTATAAAAATGCTCAGTACACAAAATAAAAAATGTATATTATTTAAAACTAATTTTCATAATATTTTAACTGGTAATTATATTTTACTTAAATATTTACAAACTTAAAATTATAATAAAAAACGGAAACATATAGGAAATTTATAATAGGACATGGGGAAGTCTTCAGATCAACAAACCACGGGGCATGCTTACGACAAAGATCAAAATTAACATTCCAAATTCTTTTTTCTTTGAAATTCATTGATATAAAATTTATAAAAAATACAAAAGATTCTTCATTCATGGGGAAAAGACAATGTAACAAAAACATTCAACGGGAAATATAAAAAATATAAAATATTGTGTCATAAAAAAGGAACATGACAAATATATGAAAACTCTGGTACAAACAGGGCAAAATCATTACAACAATAGGAATGTATTCAAAATTTGAAAATTTCAAAACTTCAAACCTGATGGAAAGAGGATGACAGAAACGTTATCTTACAAAAATTCAAATTATTTTATTTTATTATTTAATAAATTATGTCTCATTTTCTATTTGTTTCTACAGGATCTGTAACTTCTGTCTTTAAATTTAAGGTGTTAAAACCCTTAAAATTTTAAGAGATTTTCGTTCTTCTATTTTTTAAAATAATTTATAAGATAACGTCTAAATTTCAAGATGCAATTTTTAGGGGTTGGATCCTCAGGATTTGTCTAGGATTGGATCCTGGATACGAAGGATTAAATTCCTCGGGCATATGGGGGCAATTTTTGTTCTTACGTACTCCATCGAAAAGTATCTTCTTATCTTCGTATGTTCGGCTATCAAGACGTCTTTCATACTTGCATGACACCTGAAGTTTAGGCTAACGAAGAAGAAAATTGATAATTAAAACCGTGAAATAGATGTACGTTTACTTACTCCTTCAAAAAGACCCTTCTTATCGCCATAAGTTCGCCTATCCAGGCGTCTTTCATACTTGCTGGCAACCTGGAGTTTAGGCTGTAGGATAGGGGTGAATAGGAAAAATTACAGGAAAAAAACAGGGTTTAAAATCATCTCACAAAAAAAATTATAAAAACTAGACGGAAAAGCGACTGTAGCTTAAAAACTATGAAATTTTAAAATTTGGTTGTATAATTATTTTCAATTAGACAAAAGAATAAAGTAAATTTTATTCATTTTTATGAAAATTGTATTTTATAAAANTTCCAAATTCTTTTTTCTTTGAAATTCATTGATATAAAATTTATAAAAAATACAAAAGATTCTTCATTCATGGGGAAAAGACAATGTAACAAAAACATTCAACGGGAAATATAAAAAATATAAAATATTGTGTCATAAAAAAGGAACATGACAAATATATGAAAACTCTGGTACAAACAGGGCAAAATCATTACAACAATAGGAATGTATTCAAAATTTGAAAATTTCAAAACTTCAAACCTGATGGAAAGAGGATGACAGAAACGTTATCTTACAAAAATTCAAATTATTTTATTTTATTATTTAATAAATTATGTCTCATTTTCTATTTGTTTCTACAGGATCTGTAACTTCTGTCTTTAAATTTAAGGTGTTAAAACCCTTAAAATTTTAAGAGATTTTCGTTCTTCTATTTTTTAAAATAATTTATAAGATAACGTCTAAATTTCAAGATGCAATTTTTAGGGGTTGGATCCTCAGGATTTGTCTAGGATTGGATCCTGGATACGAAGGATTAAATTCCTCGGGCATATGGGGGCAATTTTTGTTCTTACGTACTCCATCGAAAAGTATCTTCTTATCTTCGTATGTTCGGCTATCAAGACGTCTTTCATACTTGCATGACACCTGAAGTTTAGGCTAACGAAGAAGAAAATTGATAATTAAAACCGTGAAATAGATGTACGTTTACTTACTCCTTCAAAAAGACCCTTCTTATCGCCATAAGTTCGCCTATCCAGGCGTCTTTCATACTTGCTGGCAACCTGGAGTTTAGGCTGTAGGATAGGGGTGAATAGGAAAAATTACAGGAAAAAAACAGGGTTTAAAATCATCTCACAAAAAAAATTATAAAAACTAGACGGAAAAGCGACTGTAGCTTAAAAACTATGAAATTTTAAAATTTGGTTGTATAATTATTTTCAATTAGACAAAAGAATAAAGTAAATTTTATTCATTTTTATGAAAATTGTATTTTATAAAAAAAAAATAATAAAATTTTAAATTTTTATGTAAATTTTAAACTGCTTTAAGACACTTTTTAAATTAAATTTTCGAATTTTTGAAAATTAAAATAAATAAAATTATTTTTCTTTTTATTCTTTTGTGTAATGTTAAAAATTTTTCTATTCAAAAATTTAGAAAAAATTTACATTTTATATTTAAAAATAGTAGTTATGGACATCGAAGGATAGAATATGGGATAAATATATGGATATTTATCCAGGCAACCATATTAAAATAAATTTTACAAATATTTATATTACTTTAAATTAAATTAATTTAAAAGCATTTATTTTAAAAAAGAAATAGATTTTAAAGTTTAAGAAAATTACGAGATAGAGATTAAATTTTTAATTTACTATCATTTTATAATAATCGAAACTTTACCGGATATTTTCCTGAGAAAGCCCTGCAAATATAATAAATATGCATAAGTATTTTTATATTAATATTTTAAAATTAAATATAATGGAATATATATTTACTCTGGGTCAAGACCCTTCTTCAAAGCCTTGTTTCTGTTAATTTGCTTTTGTCTTTCCGCCAGTTCTTTCAACTAAAATATTATTTAGGATTTAGTCTTCTATATTCAAGCCGTCTTAAGTGCCTAAACACTTAAAATAATACGAGAACTTTTCGTTTACGTACATCGTAATCCTGGCGCTTCATACGCTCTTCCAAATCGTATTTTTCACTCTCCAACTTGATGATGCATTCCCACAGTTCTTCGGCCTTAGCTTTCAGTTTATCGCTTGGCAGTCCTTCAATTGCCAGGGGTTTTACTCGGAAGCCCAAAGCGATTTTCTTGTCTTCTTCCAATTGTTCTTTTGTCTTGTGCAATTCGCTAGGACCGAAGCCACCCATCTAAATTGAAATTCAAAAGAAACGTTGAGAATCATTGGTAATTACAAGTTAATAATTAAATTAGAAACTAAATCAAATTTTAAAATAAAACAAAATTACTTCTTTCTTCTGGATGACGAAGTTTGGACCAGCTTTTTCTTTTTTGAGAGCATCCTGCATCGCCTGCCTCTTCCGCTCAGCTTCCTCTAGACGTTTTCTTTTCGCCTCCGCTTCTTTTGCTTTCTTTTCTTCCTATAATTTATATTAAAATTATTAAATTATTATTTTTCTACTAAGAGATGTTTTCGTACGCATTTTTATGTAATTAAATAGAATGATATTAATACAGATAAACTGCTTATATAATGAAATTTCTGAATTTAATTTAAATCTACTTTATACGATTTAAATTTAGATTAATAATAGTGAAAAATTAGATTTTGTATTGGTACTTATATCTGCGTATTACATAATTCAGCGTAGAATATAATTTGATCAACTAGTTATGAAATTGCCATCTGTCAACAAATACTGTCATCAGCTATTATATAACGTGAAAATTACCGATATTCAGAGTTCTTTTAAACACTTAAAATCCACACAAACTATCGAACTGTTTAGAAGTCGATTTTTTTTAATTTGAATGATTAAAACTGTTTGTTTGATTATGAAATTCGATTGTAAAATAAAATTTGATATCATTAAGTTTACGAAAAAAGTTTTTAAATAAAAACGAGCAATTATTTATTATGACATGGTCACAATGCCGGGCTGCAATTCTTAATCTTCTAATTTATTTAATTTAAAATATAAGCTATCCACATTAAATTAGTAGCGACTTTTCCTTTAACAATGGAGTCGTGCCGATCATCTATCTAACTCCTCTCTGGAGGGAATTTTTAATTGAAATAATGGTGAATTCCGGTGCAAAGTATAAGTTCGTATATAGTTGGGGCTTCCTGTCCCTAAGCTATCTGGTCTCGACTTTCATCTATCTAACTATAAGGAAGGTCAGACAGATGACAGTGGGAATTTATAGGTCTACAATTTTTTTCAAATTACAGCCCAATTAATCATTTTTATAATAGTAGTGTAAAATTTAAAAGTTATAAAAGGGATACAAAGTACAAACTGTTAGATTATTTCATCATGAGATATATAAATTCGTGTTCAAATGATTATTTTTTCTGTAACGATCTGAGTCATTAACTCTTCAATTTAAAAAAATATATATATATACAGTAGAGCGTCGATTTTCCGAATCAATTCGGGACTGGGGTTGTTCGTATAACTGATATTTCGGATAACCGATTTATGTACGAAAAAATAGTTTAACGTATTCGATGTCGAAATTTTTATCCGTTACGTGTCGCTTCACGTTGAATTTTCGTCGATGTTAAGCCTCACAAAGACTATTGTATCGTTAAAAATTATTTTTTTTATTTTGTACAAACAAAATAAATATATTTAAAAATATAAAAATTATAAAAAATTATACTTCAGATGTTAATTTAGTATCAAAAACGTAAAATATTTGAGTAACCCAAGACATAGCCAAAGATTAAAGCGCCACAGCACTGGCGAAAATTTAAAAATGCCGACTGGAATTCTTTCGGATGATTGACGTTTCGGATGATTGACTTTCGGAAAATCGACGCTCTACTGTATATATATTCTTTTAGATCATTTCCGAAAACGATAGTTTGTTAAAATAAAATTAGAAATTAAAATTTTGATTTTATTTATTTTGATAAATGTAAGGAACAGTCCTCTGTTTTTTAAAATTTAGAAACTTTAAATTAATAACTATTGCCAAACTTGTAAAATATTCATTAAAAACAAAATTAACATAAATTTAAATTACCATAGATTATCCCTTACGTCTTTATAAACTGGTGAAGACTCTTACTGTGTCACCTATTATTATTCTATATAATAATAATAATAATGTCCATGAATGTGACTACACGTGTGTGTGCATAAAGTCTTACTAAATATTAACTAGCTCCAATATATAAATATATTTTTATATATTAATATATGTACTTTGAATTAGTAATAAAATCTTTCAAAATTTTAAATTCTAGAAATCCGTAATGTTTCATTGAAGGATTTAATTTTAAAAATATTAATAATAGGTAATTTAACCGATAATTTCAATCCACTCAATTATTGAACTCAGTTTAATTATCGAATCTTGTTAGAATTATTGGTAATTTGTTCTGGATTGTTGTAAAGTATTACTATAATTCTGTCACTAATTAATATTACGTTCATTGACTGATCGAATTGTGATTTTTAATCATGAATTGGGCTTATCGATTCATAAAGAATAAAATTGATTATAAATCGAAACATAATACTCACTTGCTCTCTCTGTCGTTGCTCTTCTTGTCTTCGTTTGTTTTCCATCATTCGTTTTTCCTGCTCAGCTCGGAAGGCTCTTCTCTTAACCTTTACAAAAATAAAAGGAAATGCGTAAGAATTTAACTATACGATTTTCATCACTTAATTATAATTCAAACATAATATAGAAAAAAAATAATACCTGTCGTTCTTTCAGTTTTCGTAATTCTTCTTCCTCCTTGGCACGTTGTTTCTTACGTTGTTCCATGTATTCCTGCCACATGGCTTCCTCCTCCTCCTTCTTCTTCCTCATCTTCTCCTGTAATATTTAATGTAACGTTTGAATTTTCTATATAGTACGAAAATTTATTATTTAATTAATAACTTCTCGTAGAAATTTTAAGTGGAACTAACCTCCATGGCTAACTCTGCTTCCGTCATGGTTGGTGGTACTGCTTCTCTGTTAAAAGTACAATGACAATTTAAATTTAAGATAAATCCTGATCTTATAATTAAATAAAAAAAATGTTTAACTTTAAAAAATTAAATTGCTAATAAGTTGTTTTACTTAATCTAACCTAACATATTATTGTTAGGAAATTTAAAAATTTTCTATTTTAATTACTATATAAGCAATTAAAACTTTCAAATTTGCAAAATAAGTTTTGTATAATTTACTATTTTACAAAAAATATTAATTCTAATTTATTAACTATTTCTCACATAAAACTTTACACGATTGTTTTACAGTAAAAAGTAAATTACTCTAATTTTTATTTAGTATAATTAACAAGACTATTTCTCTATAGCACAAATTCTATTTTAAATACAAAACTTTTCAGATAGTAATAATAGAATAAATTCTTATCTCAAGTACTCATGCATCTAAAAATATATACGTATCTATATTGCACCATCTAAATCTATCCTTTCTATTAATCCTAAAATAATATCTATTTTTACATAACCTAACGTTACTTTCTAATAAAAATATATTTAGAATATCACTTGACATTTAAAAGAAATATATAAATTCTAATATCGAAATTATTTAAAATACAAATGCTACAAAACATATAAAAGCAATTTAAATCATATAAAACAGACAAAATAAAGACAAATATTCCATGCGTGTTAAATGCTGAAATTACTAAGTTTCATGCTATAATTTAAGAAAAAAAATTAGTTTAAATATATTTAAATATAATTTGAATAGACTTTCTTACGAATGAGTTGCATTATTCAGAATGGAATAATCAATAAATTATTAATTATAAATATGATCATCCTAAGGAATCTGTTATGGATTTTAGTATAGGCCTATAATATTTATTAAAATATTTTTTTCTATAATTTTAAATGCATCATAATATATATATATATATATACTGTATATGTATATATAAATAATTAAAAATTGGTGAAAATATACAGGTATAGGGTGTTAATGAAATAATCAATAAATTAATTATAAATATGATTATCTTAAAGGATCTGGTATGGATTTTTCTTAGTACAGGTCTATAATATTTTTCTATAATTTTAAATGTTTATTAATTACATATTTTTTTCATATATAACGTTTAAAATATGAATAAAGTGGATGAAAACATATGGGTATAGGGAGCTAATTATTTTTAATATGATTATAAGTGAAAATTTATAATCATAAAAATTAGTATTGCAGTTATAAAAATTATAAAAAAAAATAACAGGGATTTCAAAACAACCCTTTACATAAACAAATAAATAATTCATAAATTCATCAATGCAACAAAACCAAAGTTATTTTGAATATGAAAAATTTAGAAAGGCTTGCAAATTAGATAAAATTAAAATGAATAAATTGATTTTTTTCTGGTCAAAATTTTCTGTTTTAAAAAATTTCATGCAATCTCAAAAGCAAATTTTATAATTTTAATCCACAAGAAGCACGCTTTTGAGAAAAAGGGGCTCAAAACATATCGCATATAATAAACTTACGTTCGCTTCCCTGAATCAGACCTACAGAAAAAAATTAAATAAACCAATGGTTTTACTTATATCGACTAAAATAAAATACTATTTACACAATTATAAATTTATAAGCAAATTATTTAGATTCAGAAAGTGTTTTTACGTATTTTTCTTTTATTTTCTTAGTGTAACTATGCTTCTTTTTGTATTTTATATATGATTAGCTGTGTAAATTGAAATATACTTACTTCTTCCTGTAGAAAAAAAAATAAAGAAACAATTTTTAATTAAACGTTTATAATAAATTAAATTTTTAAATATAATTTATATACTGTATTTTACAAATACACACCTGCTGGTCTCCTCCTCCTCTTCGCTGGAGATGAAATAGAAAAATTATATATTAATTATGAAATCATTTAATAAAGTATTAAACCAATTTTAAAGATTATTATTTAAATTATTAATGTTACAGCCGTTTAAAAACGTTTAACATATAAACGCAATGGTGTATTTTATAATTATTTAATTTTTCATATAGTGATCTGTTCAAAAAAATAAAAGAAATTTAAAACTTTTTAAAATGTTTTTTTAGAATTTTATGCTTAAATATATACATAAAATACACCATAGACGTCGATTTTTTAATATTTCTGAACAAAACGCATACGAAAATAGCAGTGCATAGTTTGAAAACATGCAAGAAAACAAAAAATATAATTTCAAATCTTTAAAATATCAAAAATAAAATAAAATAAAAAAATAAATAAATAAATATATTGTTAAGGAGAAATTTCATATAATGCAAAAAGCTTCGGTAGTTAGTTAGTCAAAATAGTCAAAAAACATACTTTTTTGTAACATAATCTTCGAAAATAATGCGCGTAACACGATACTCGATAATAAAATTTAAGGATTCAGAAATGGGAAATCATGCTTAAACCAAGGATTTTCCTGTGCGGGAATATTTGGGATATATTCAAACACCATCTTTTACAAAAACTTACCGTCAATATTCATAAATAGTGCAACATATATATTATATGTATTTTTTTTAATTGTATTTATATAATATACGAATTTTAGCTGCATTGTAGTCATGCAGAGGGACAAGAACTTCGATTCACGACTTAGTATATAAAGATAACCCTTGTTCCAAGATTATCATGGTAAGTTTCCAAAGGGACAAACCAAAGGAACATGGAGGCTATATTTAGTTTGGTAAGGATTCGTGCACGTTATCTCCCACACCATACAAACTTACGATTTATGAAGTCGTTGGTCACTAAAGTGTGACTTTAAAGTCTACTGGTAAATTGTCTCAAAACTAAAGTTTGAGTCAGCTGTCAGTCGACTTCGTTATTTCTTTTTTCTCCTTTTTATTTCCTGACGATGGAGTTTAAAAGTTATCTTCAGTTTTAAAAAATCGTTTATATCGCGATTGTTTATTCTAAAATGTATCGGCTTATATTGTAAGAAAAAAATTAATATATATAGGCTATATTATTTTTTAAAATATAATATATTAATTAATTTTAAATGTTTCTATNTTAAGGAGAAATTTCATATAATGCAAAAAGCTTCGGTAGTTAGTTAGTCAAAATAGTCAAAAAACATACTTTTTTGTAACATAATCTTCGAAAATAATGCGCGTAACACGATACTCGATAATAAAATTTAAGGATTCAGAAATGGGAAATCATGCTTAAACCAAGGATTTTCCTGTGCGGGAATATTTGGGATATATTCAAACACCATCTTTTACAAAAACTTACCGTCAATATTCATAAATAGTGCAACATATATATTATATGTATTTTTTTTAATTGTATTTATATAATATACGAATTTTAGCTGCATTGTAGTCATGCAGAGGGACAAGAACTTCGATTCACGACTTAGTATATAAAGATAACCCTTGTTCCAAGATTATCATGGTAAGTTTCCAAAGGGACAAACCAAAGGAACATGGAGGCTATATTTAGTTTGGTAAGGATTCGTGCACGTTATCTCCCACACCATACAAACTTACGATTTATGAAGTCGTTGGTCACTAAAGTGTGACTTTAAAGTCTACTGGTAAATTGTCTCAAAACTAAAGTTTGAGTCAGCTGTCAGTCGACTTCGTTATTTCTTTTTTCTCCTTTTTATTTCCTGACGATGGAGTTTAAAAGTTATCTTCACATTTTCTATTTGTTTCTACAGGATCTGTAACTTCTGTCTTTAAATTTAAGGTGTTAAAACCCTTAAAATTTTAAGAGATTTTCGTTCTTCTATTTTTTAAAATAATTTATAAGATAACGTCTAAATTTCAAGATGCAATTTTTAGGGGTTGGATCCTCAGGATTTGTCTAGGATTGGATCCTGGATACGAAGGATTAAATTCCTCGGGCATATGGGGGCAATTTTTGTTCTTACGTACTCCATCGAAAAGTATCTTCTTATCTTCGTATGTTCGGCTATCAAGACGTCTTTCATACTTGCATGACACCTGAAGTTTAGGCTAACGAAGAAGAAAATTGATAATTAAAACCGTGAAATAGATGTACGTTTACTTACTCCTTCAAAAAGACCCTTCTTATCGCCATAAGTTCGCCTATCCAGGCGTCTTTCATACTTGCTGGCAACCTGGAGTTTAGGCTGTAGGATAGGGGTGAATAGGAAAAATTACAGGAAAAAAACAGGGTTTAAAATCATCTCACAAAAAAAATTATAAAAACTAGACGGAAAAGCGACTGTAGCTTAAAAACTATGAAATTTTAAAATTTGGTTGTATAATTATTTTCAATTAGACAAAAGAATAAAGTAAATTTTATTCATTTTTATGAAAATTGTATTTTATAAAAAAAAAATAATAAAATTTTAAATTTTTATGTAAATTTTAAACTGCTTTAAGACACTTTTTAAATTAAATTTTCGAATTTTTGAAAATTAAAATAAATAAAATTATTTTTCTTTTTATTCTTTTGTGTAATGTTAAAAATTTTTCTATTCAAAAATTTAGAAAAAATTTACATTTTATATTTAAAAATAGTAGTTATGGACATCGAAGGATAGAATATGGGATAAATATATGGATATTTATCCAGGCAACCATATTAAAATAAATTTTACAAATATTTATATCACTTTAAATTAAATTAATTTAAAAGCATTTATTTTAAAAAAGAAATAGATTTTAAAGTTTAAGAAAATTACGAGATAGAGATTAAATTTTTAATTTACTATCATTTTATAATAATCGAAACTTTACCGGATATTTTCCTGAGAAAGCCCTGCAAATATAATAAATATGCATAAGTATTTTTATATTAATATTTTAAAATTAAATATAATGGAATATATATTTACTCTGGGTCAAGACCCTTCTTCAAAGCCTTGTTTCTGTTAATTTGCTTTTGTCTTTCCGCCAGTTCTTTCAACTAAAATATTATTTAGGATTTAGTCTTCTATATTCAAGCCGTCTTAAGTGCCTAAACACTTAAAATAATACGAGAACTTTTCGTTTACGTACATCGTAATCCTGGCGCTTCATACGCTCTTCCAAATCGTATTTTTCACTCTCCAACTTGATGANATTAATTGTGATAAAAAAATATCCACTTTACTTTTTTTAGTCTTTAGTTATAATTAAATTGCTATAACAGTACATAAACGGTTAAGAAATTTCAAAAATAAATAAATAAATGTATATATAAAAATTATTTGTGACTTATTATTTCCAAAATAATTCTCAGAAATTGCTATTGTTAAAAAGGAAATATTTAGAGAATTTAAAAAGAAAAAAAAAATTGGTGGAAGTTGTTTCCTTATTTAAACCGGTAAGAGATATAGAGTGGTGTTGTCCTGCCTCAAACTACTTGCCAACCAATAGAAAATCGAGCAGTCCATTTCTAAACAAGGTTCCTTAGAATAAGAACCGATACTGAAAATAGATATACGAGCCAGACAACCCATTCAGATTACTCATCCTATTCGCATTTGCAAACAGGACCTTTCATCAAAACTTCTTTTCCTCTTTTTTTTTTAGAAGCAAATGCATTATTCTACTTTTTGATACTCATTATGAGTTAAAAGTATTTTATGCCAATAAAAATATTTTTAAAAACTTATATTTTGTTAAATATTAGCTTTAAAAATATACTAAAACGCTAAACGAGAATAGTTTTGGATCCTAATTATCCTAATATTAAGACTATTCTTTCATCTAGTGTAATTTATCTATTCTTTGAAAAAGTCAAGAAAGTTGCAGTTTAACTGATGTAAAGACGAGCGAATGAACTGTATTTTTGTGTTTTTTTTTATGTTAAAACAAATAAAAGTTAACTCTCTTACCTGTATTCTTCGTCAGACATGAAGGGTCTTGTGGGTTACCTAAGGAATCAACAACGAAAAAATTAAGTTTTACATACTCTCCGATTTTTAAAAAAAAAATTTTAAGCGAAACTTACAACGAAAAAGAAAAAAAAATTAAGTTCGAATTCGGCAGAGGAAATCGGGTGGCGGAGGTACACTCGAACGGCTCCTCTGTCAAATGACCTACTTCTTTCCTGTTATATGCTAACCTCCCTCCCTTTCCAGTTGTCGCGATGTCGCTTCTGTATCTCACAACTGGCAATAATCCAATCCTATACACAACCTTTAAAGCACTACTAGTTGAAAGAATTGGTAAGACAAGCCAAACTTTCTATAGATTCTTACTTGTCAATAGGAAGAAATCAAATGCTAAGTTAACTATACTCCACTGAACCAAATGTGAATCCTTAACTAATGATCACTTTCTTTCGTGGTCATAAGTATACATAAAATATTTTGCCACAATTACAAACATTATTTAACTCCCTTTTTACTATATACTAAGTTTTATTTTTCTGTTTTAATAGATGTAAAAGAATTAAACTAAACAGTAAGCTAAAGAAAATATTTAAATAAATTAAATTAAAATCTTATAAATTTTTCAGTATTTAAAAAAAAGTATAAGTTTTAAATGTTTTTTAGTGAAAATATAATTTGCAAAAATAAAATATATAGTAGAACATTACCTATCGTACATTTTTGGATATGAGGGGGCGTTAGATAAGTAAACGTTACTTTGGATGAAGAGCAAATACTCTATATTTTGCGATATTATTTGCTAGGTATTAATAGTAATAGATTTTATATGTAATATATATATATAACTAAATTTAAAATTAAGTTTAAAGTATTAAATATGTATATACGAATATTTCAACTTAAATTAATATTAAACAAGTGTATAAACTTTATTGTATATTCATTTATAGGCTATAATGTCATTAACATACGAGATATAAACTTTTATAAAATCCATGTTTAGGTGTTGTTGAAACTAATGAAAATTTAAGTATACATGACGTTAAAAAATTAAGTATTAATCACCAAAAACAAGATTTATATGAAAAAATCTTAAAAGATCTTACAATTGATATGTATATATAAAATAAATAAATAAAATAATCTACTTTTATCTTCAAAATTATTTATTTATTTTATAAATGAACCGTTCGGGAATTTGGTGTATTCTTATCACCCGACCTTGAACAACATAAAATGTCTACTTATACTCCATCCGTTTCTAAATTGGATTGTATTCAACTCCAGACTGCAATCCATATTGAATTTTTTCCTCCTTACATTCAATTGTAATATATTCAAATATATGCTTAAGTGCTCTAAAAACAGATATAAGCTTTATAACTCGTATAATACCTCGGCTTCTTACATTGACTATAATAATAAATGCTTTACTAAGAGAATATTTAGCAAGTATTCATCAGTCAATTTTGTATGATAAATTTAATCAGAGTAGAACAATCTTTCGAGTGATTCGAATGGCTAACGATAAGTGTACATGTCAAATTCATCAAACTGTAATCTTGGAGAGTATTAATCAGGCAAGTATCCAGGAATTTTATTATTTATTGAAGATTTTCAGTTGGAAAAATGTTCTGAGAAATATAAGCATTAGATTTAGCAAACAACATAAAATTTTAATTTGGATTCGCAGAAGTAATTTGTTATTTCTGATTATTTTTTCCGATGAAATCTCTTAGAAGAATTTAAATCACCACACACCCATATATCGATGCTACTTTTTATTTATTAATTATAATTTTTTTGTAACATTAAATTTAATATAAAAATTTTACATAAATATTTAATTTTTTAATTATGCTAATAACTAATACACTATTCATTGAACGAATATTTTAAAAAATTTAATTTTAAAATGCCAATGATGTGAATTATTAAAAACTTTATTATAAATTCGTTCATAAAATTAAATATAATTTTGTTCTTATGAATAAAATTTTTTTAGGAATGCTTCTGAAGAAACTTATATTAAAATAAATCTCTTCGGAAGCATTTTCAAAACTTAATATTCTTATAAAGAAAAGAAACTTTTTAAAATTCATAATTGTAATGGCTCTCGGCTATAAATGGACAATCAACAATTCGAATAGAAATATTTATTAAATTCTCATATCAAAGCTTCTAATTTCATATACGATATTCTTAAATTAGCCTCTACTAAACGAAAATTATTCTAAACAAATGTATTTAATTTATTAGATTTTCTTATCAAAAACAATTGTTTTGGCATTTGTAACAAGTTTCAAAGAATTTGTAATATTTCTAAGTTTAAAACTTCTGCTCTACCTAAAATTATTTAAATCATAAATTCTCAATCGTGTTATTGTTTCTTTAAATGTAAATTGTTATTTTATTATATTCATGTCTGTTGTGTTATAATAAGTATTGCTTGTGTGTATGTTTTCAAATTGTTTATATTGATTCTTTTCACTGAGAGTAAGGAAATATCTATAAATTATTTCTTTATAAACATCCGACTCCGTAATAAATAATTCTGAAATGAACGGAAATTCATTTTTATCTTTAAGAAGTCGACAAGTTCAAAACTATTGTTCAAGTACAAAACAAATTCTTCTTTCTGAAATTATCTATGAGCTATTCACAGCATATGATTTTTTTTTTATCATTGCCAGATATGATAGTTCTATACAATTTTCTCTGTAAAATATAAATAAATTATTAATTGTTAAGTATAGCTAATGTATTTAACTAATGTTATATGTATATTATTATTAAATGTTATATGTATATCTAATCTCGTGGTTTTTTCCAATACATAAATTTATTTCACACGTTCAAATGTAATATTAAGATATTGGAAAATATAAGAAATTTCAAAATTTTGTTCTAATCCTTACACTTTGTACTTTTTTCGTCTTGTTTAATGTTGATATATAAATATTTACATCCTGTGTTAGTTTACTTCACTTTACTATATTTTGAGGAATTTAGGATTTTCCATTTGTACTTTTATATAATTATCATCATCATATTTAAGCGTGTAATATCGTACATTCATTCACTTAATGATTCTGTACAGTTATATACAAGTTTATCGCTTCTAATAAATAGAACTAACGTTTAAATTTAGCCGGTTAGCATACAAATTTATGTATTATGACACTCGCATTATACTAAAATAATGCAAATACTTCCCTTCGATGTTAATTAATCGTTAAACAATTTTAAAAATACAGTTATCAATANCTTCTGAAGAAACTTATATTAAAATAAATCTCTTCGGAAGCATTTTCAAAACTTAATATTCTTATAAAGAAAAGAAACTTTTTAAAATTCATAATTGTAATGGCTCTCGGCTATAAATGGACAATCAACAATTCGAATAGAAATATTTATTAAATTCTCATATCAAAGCTTCTAATTTCATATACGATATTCTTAAATTAGCCTCTACTAAACGAAAATTATTCTAAACAAATGTATTTAATTTATTAGATTTTCTTATCAAAAACAATTGTTTTGGCATTTGTAACAAGTTTCAAAGAATTTGTAATATTTCTAAGTTTAAAACTTCTGCTCTACCTAAAATTATTTAAATCATAAATTCTCAATCGTGTTATTGTTTCTTTAAATGTAAATTGTTATTTTATTATATTCATGTCTGTTGTGTTATAATAAGTATTGCTTGTGTGTATGTTTTCAAATTGTTTATATTGATTCTTTTCACTGAGAGTAAGGAAATATCTATAAATTATTTCTTTATAAACATCCGACTCCGTAATAAATAATTCTGAAATGAACGGAAATTCATTTTTATCTTTAAGAAGTCGACAAGTTCAAAACTATTGTTCAAGTACAAAACAAATTCTTCTTTCTGAAATTATCTATGAGCTATTCACAGCATATGATTTTTTTTTTATCATTGCCAGATATGATAGTTCTATACAATTTTCTCTGTAAAATATAAATAAATTATTAATTGTTAAGTATAGCTAATGTATTTAACTAATGTTATTGTATATTATTATTAAATGTTATATGTATATCTAATCTCGTGGTTTTTTCCAATACATAAATTTATTTCACACGTTCAAATGTAATATTAAGATATTGGAAAATATAAGAAATTTCAAAATTTTGTTCTAATCCTTACACTTTGTACTTTTTTCGTCTTGTTTAATGTTGATATATAAATATTTACATCCTGTGTTAGTTTACTTCACTTTACTATATTTTGAGGAATTTAGGATTTTCCATTTGTACTTTTATATAATTATCATCATCATATTTAAGCGTGTAATATCGTACATTCATTCACTTAATGATTCTGTACAGTTATATACAAGTTTATCGCTTCTAATAAATAGAACTAACGTTTAAATTTAGCCGGTTAGCATACAAATTTATGTATTATGACACTCGCATTATACTAAAATAATGCAAATACTTCCCTTCGATGTTAATTAATCGTTAAACAATTTTAAAAATACAGTTATGAATACAAAATAAGATTTTAAAATGTATTTATTTATCCTTTTCCATTCTTTTTTACAGCTTTGAATAAATGCATAATTTTATAATATTTTTATTTTATATTAGAGCAATTCAAATGCAAATGTGCTGGTAACGATTTAAAATTTTTCTAAGCATTATGTGATTTCGTGAGTTTTCTTAAATTACGAGCGTATAGAATATATTTACAATTATCTATTTATAATAAGACAAATATGTTTTAACTAATTAAGTTATTTTATATTAAATTTTATCTTCTGTTCGAGAATCAGTCAAAATATTTGGCTATGGTTTGCGTGCATTGCGCTATGATTATATAATCTGAAACATTTTTTTTAACTAGAAATATTAAGAAATTAAAATTAAATATTTGAATTTATATAAAATTAAAAGTAATTTTAATAAATGAATAATTTTCTTTACTAAGATATGTGAAAGAAATATCTGGTCTCCATCACTTGACATCATTACAAGATATAAAATCCTGTTCTTAATACTACATATATTATAATTACTTTTTCTAGTTTAAAAATATAAATTTTTAGTTAATAATAAAAATAATTCTTAATCTTAAAAATTATTAAATAATTAAAAAAATTCCAGTACAATTGCGACAATGAAAATCTTATATTATTTTTAACAAGTAAAAATCTTTTAGAATTTAACTTAGACTAATTCTATGTTATATACACGATTCAATTTTAATAATTGTATTGATAAAGTATTATACAATATTTTTTATCTATTTTTGCTTTATTATCTTAATAACAATATAAAATTAATAATTTCGTTTAAAAAACTTTCAAATTTATAAGATGAGAAGCAATAATCAAGTTTCAAATTAAAGAAACATTTTAGTAATATTTTCTTACAAATTCTCAAAGTATTTGTCGAAAGTAGATGCATTAATTAAGAATTAATTAATCTAATATACTAAAATTTCGAATTTCGAGAGGTTTGAAGCAATCGAAATTTGAAGCAGGATTTGATATTCAACACGAAAAAAGAAAAAAAATGCTCTAATCTATCAACAGTTTGAAGGCAAGAGCTTCAAATAAATTCTAATTTTTTAAACGTTCATTTAACTGCTCTTGTTTAATAATAATTGAAAGAATTAAATACTGACCTAGAGGTGTTTGAGTAGGAAATACCACGTATTCCTTCAACACCACTCAACACAGTGGGCCACACCAAGGTGAAATTGCGCTGTTACGGTACACCTTATACCACGGATTTATATTTAGTAAAATTTACAATTTACAAATGATTGTTTCAAAGACAATGATTGGATGAATTTGTGTCTTACTGCCCTATCCCGTTTCACATATTCGAAGCCATGTATAACAACTACCGACAATTGTCACTGGCGACACCTTATTTGGAATGAGTAGTAGAACGAGCTCTCTTCAGACGATACCGGCTTAATTCTCTTGTAAAATTCTTAAACACGTACATGCATTTAATAAAAATTAATTAATTTTAATTAAATATTTAATTATCAATAAGTTATAACATACAGTAAAGCGCGGTATATTTAATTTTAAGAGTAAAAATGTAATCCTTTCGCATATAAGTAAGTGCACACTTCAAATTCTTGAAGATATTCGATTCCCGTTGCAAGTTGTTGAAAATATTGCAATAAAATATATTTTATTCCATAATTATTTAAACTGTAACCGGATATTCTTTTAATGTGTCCTCTTGGAGTTTCAAAGATGAGAGATGCTACGATAGATTCTGTAGTAGTTTCTTAAGCCAAAATAAATATTATTCTTAAATATTTTCTGTTGTTTTTAAGCAAATTCTGAGGGGTAATAAATTTAGTCGAAAGTTGTAGTAGCGATAATTAATTTTTAGTTGTATTTTTTGAATTAAATTCTGGATGTATTCCATTACTCTTCTTGAAATAATAACAAAAGCCATCATATTCAATTATTTTCATTCGAATTCAAAACAATCTCTTAATATTCTACGTAAATTTGATAAAAATTTAACATAAAATTTTATTCTTTTATACTTTTAATAAGTTTATATCGAACGGGCGAATATAAATTCAAAGTGTAACGCTGTACATAGACTAATATACTACATCTATTTAAACACGACATTTAAAAATAAAATAATTCTAAAAAATCCAATAGGAAACTTTTAAAAAGTACAGAGTCTGCAGAAAACTAGGGCAAGACCTGTGTCTAAAAGACAAACAACTTTTAAATCTCTGGTTTCTCGTATTTCTTAACTGAAACAGTCGAGAAGCGAAACAGAATGGAAGTCATCCAAAACGAAGAATTATAAATAGATTCGGGTATTGTGTAAACCATTTCGCCCCCAAAAGTACTAGTGGATTGTTCTGGTGGGCCAGAAAGAGAATGGAAGGTCGTCCAAGACCGAATAACCAAGAAAAAAAAAAAACTAGATTTGTTACAAAGATGTGTTTTCAAATATTCATAGAATAAAATTTTCACATTTTAAAAATAAATGCGCGAAATTTCAAATTCTCTTTCACTTAATCTTACGAAATTAGTCCAGAAATTAAAGAAAAATCTATATAACGTATTAAAAAGTTATTTTTTTATAATCGGTTATTTAAAAATTATTAAATTTTTGTATTTTCGATTTTTTTTTTATTAATAAAATTGTGAAAATCGATGAAGCAGCATATTGAAAAACGGAAATGAATTGCATCTTACAAATATAGCCCTCAGTCAACGACCTGTTCTTCACCGGAATAGTGATGATGTCAGAGAGAAAAATATATATTCTTAAAGACTTTGTTCCTTATTTTGTTTTATATATTTATATTATACTTAAAATATTTAAAAATCTGATATTATATAATTAAATACTTTCATTGAATACGTATAGAAGGAATTTTAAATAGTGTTTTTTTTTATGAAGAGTGCAATTTTCGTTTCGATTTCTTCGTTCTATGTATGAAATATGAGAAAATATTTTCTTAAATTTTTTCATTGAAACTCATTTTTAATGTGGTTATAATTTTTAAATAATTAGTAAATTTGCAAAAGAAATTAAAGTATGGCGCAATATTAATTCGAATCATTAGTTTAAGTTTAGTACATGTGAAAGTGAAACCTTGCATTTTACTTATTGGATCACTTGATGATGCAATAATTGTTTGTTTCTATAAATATTTTAAAGTTTCGTATACATTGTACATGATAAAAAAGCTGTATACAAATTTATAATTTTATATAAGCCTGTTTAATTAATTAAAACAAACATAAACATTAATGAAAAGATAAATTTATTTAATATTTCATTTATTTAAAATTTTGTTTATTTATACTATATACAGTAAAACAGAAAATATAATAGTATATAATATTTTTATTGTTTCTATATGAAACATACTATTTATATAAATGCTAAGTTTAATATACGTAAGATATATTAAATGCACTATATTTAAATTACGTGCATATGTAACTAATAAAAATCCTACGCTTAATATACCTCGTAGTAATATAATTTGAATTAGCGTATGTATTATAATTAAATTTAAATCCCGAAAAATATATTTAATTCCACTTAAAATAGTAAATATATAGAAATAAAAGTCATACAATATTATTGGATATAATAAATATAAAATATTTATATAGGCCTATAAACATATAGCCTAATAAAGTATATGNACTGCGAAGTGAAAATGTGAAAATAAATATGAAATTGAGTTGATAACATAATCGAACAAGTCGAGGCAGCTTATTGGCGCGAAGCTTTCTGAAAGTCAATAATATGTATAGAGATATTTGATTAATTATTTATTTATTTACTTACTTAAAATTAAGCTGCGAGAAACGAAAATAATTTCTACTTTAAATTTACATTGCCTACTAAAAATTCACACATCGGAACCTTAAATTCGATACTCGAAATTTTTGGCTTATCTCTCAAAACAAAATTCGAAATTCTTACATGCATTCAAACGTGTAAAACTCGCTAAAAATGAATAATAAAATATATTATGCGGACTTTATTTTAGTTTCATTTTGATTAAAAAATAATGTTTACTTGTTCTTTCCTCTTATGAAAATAATTAAGATAGCATCTTATAAATGATGTTTAACATTAATGTTATACAATTAAGTTCTTTGTCAGTATTCATAGAATTTAGATTTGTGATTCATTTCGGACCAAATTATGATCCAAAAGAAGTATAATTAACGGACAGTTGTTCCTATGTGGGAAGTGTGGGTGAAAATTTTATTTTTGGGTTTAGCCACCCAAATATTTTGGCAGTAATCACTTTACACATTAACGTTTTTTATACGATTTAGCGTTAATTATAGATAACCTTAACTGGTTATACCTCCTTATATGTCTCATCAATGTTATTCTTTGTCCATTTTCGTCATTTCCCAGTTAATTCGAATATCTATCTCTCTATTATACCGAACACTAACTGTATGGAATCTGATTAAAGTCGAATTATGCTAGTTATTTAATTTACAAACGTAATTAGAATTGTTAAATGTTTACAGCTTTAATTCTATTCTTGTTGTTGTACTCAAAAAAGTGACCTTACCATGTCCTGATCTTACAATCATTGTTGGCAGGTACAATTGTTTTAATACATCGAATTCCTTTAATGAAATTCAGCAAATTATTGTTTCAGGCCTAGGTAAAGTTGAAATATTTTTTTATAGAAATTTTTACAGTAAAATTACAAATTGTAATGTTTTAAAAGAATCCGGTAAATAATTTAAATAATCGGGCAAAATAGCCTTCATTCCGTTGGCAAAAATAAGTCGAATAAACAAAATTAAATAGCAAAAAACTTAACAGGTTTCACGTTTTACTTATTTTGCCTAGTTTTAAAAAAATGACAAATTTTGCCACTAAATAGTTATTTATCTTCTTTAAAAACGTCAGGTTAATAATTTCTTTAACATAAACTCGAAAAAAAATTATCTTGTGCCTACGAACTAATTAATTAAAATCCATCATTAAGAAGAGAAACAAAAAACTTATATACCGACTCTGAATATAATCCAATGCAGTTATTCTTTTTGGCAAAGTTTCCAAAAACTGTCGTCTTGGAATTTTAGCACAATTCACCACCTGTGTTCGAAAATGTCCTCCTCCTCAGTTTGAATTAGTTAAAATTATACCGCTTCGAATTGGAACACAAAAAATAACTCATTCAATTCTTTAAAAATTACTTTGTTTCCCGAATATTGCATCCCAAAGATATAATTAGATTATTGACGTCAAATGATTATCAACGAATGAAATTTGAATTTTTTAGAACTAAAACTGTGTCACAGTTTGTAAACAACCGTACACGTGTTACTTTTTAATTTAAACAAATACAAATTTAAAGGTGAAAGGCTTAAAAGATAATTTTTATTTTAACATAAATGAGTCTTTAGAACTTTATTTTCTTCTAAACAAAATATTTACATGTGATAAGTATTAAATTAGATTATATTCTAGGATAATTTTTACATGTCCTTTACTGTTAATTTATTATTATTGAATTTTTATGCATCAAAAGTCTATTATTTAATAAATAGAATTTTTCTGTAATAAAATTAATATGTGCGGGACAAGTTAAATTGTATATTTAAGATAAATGTTGAATATACTTAGATTTAAAAAAAAATGTTTGGATGATTTTAATGTTTGATAGAATTGTAGCTCTTATAAAAAAATGTATTTTATGATGAGAAAGCAGCAAACAGAAAATTAAATTATATTATTTTCTTCTTTATTTTAAATTCATTTTCTCATTTTCTTTTCGGTTATTTTCTAATTTGTTTACTTTCATCAAAAATTCTCTTTGTATAGAAATGAGTGACTTTATCTCAATTATCGCTTATCTATCTTAAATTAACTCATTAAAAGATAGCAGTTAATAAATAGAAATGTGAATTATTGATCTTTAATTCTGTTTAACCATTTCTCTGAAATTAAGTTATGTAGTAAGCAGAGTTAAGTAAATTAAAGATTAAATTAACTAAAAGTGGATAGATAAAAACATCTCGTTGGCCTTATTCACTTAAAATTAAGCTAGATATGGTGATAACAATGGCAACAGTAAATGAAATCTGTTTTATTACTACGAGTTACTGGAGAAATTCGTCTATTCGCAATAAATTGACCAACACAGATACTTGACCCGAATTATTTCTGAAAAATACGAGAATTCAGACTAGATTTGGACCCAAATTTTTTACTACGAGATTATATTATATCTCGTAGTAAAAATATATAATATATATTTTAATTTAAGAAACCGAGATGTAAA